ATTATGGGTGGTAAGTATGAATTATGGGTGGTAAGTATAATGAAATGCACACGTGACACCCCCCATGAGCCACGCCCCCAATCATTCTATATGTGCTCCCTGTATGTGCCTTGCCCTGCTATGCATGCGCACATGACCCCACCCATGTCCCCTTGCTCCCTGCACATGCCCAGCAGAGACCCCAAAACCAGCTGGCCAGCGGGAGGTGTGCATGCACCCATGGTGGAGCCGAGCTGGGGCGACGGCTCGCATGCCCACAGAGAGGGCTCTACATGCCACCTGTGGCACAGGTGCCATAGGTTCACCATCACGCTGTTCTACTATAGGATTGTCACTTCCTCCGCCTCTCTAGTTGTGGATGGTGCTTCTGCCCTATCAGAAGTGAGGTGGCACAAAGAGGGAAAGTTGCTCCTGCATCCAGGAAGCAAGAGAGGGAACTGCGCTCCCTACTAGGGAAGTCAAGAAAGAACCGGGGAGGTGGGAGGAGGGAGAGTATTTGGGCTGATTCCCTTCTCTCATTCCGCTGCGACCTCCGCAGCGTTCAAGCAACCGTTCTCTCTCTGAGAGAGAGAGCGAGAAAGAGAGCAGGAAAACAGTCGTCCTCGCTGACGAGCTTCTGGGACAGGATTGGAGGATTTATCCCAAAGACGGATCGATCATCTGGGGTGGGTTAGGGGGGGAGAGGTTCAAACGGCAGCCAAGCGAGAAGCCAAACGAGCCAGGCGCAGCTACAAACTGGGTTGCGTTTGCAACTTTCCTCCAGCCCGCCTTCGTCCGCCGTAATCCGGGATGGCTTCCAATTTTAACGATATAGTAAAGCAAGGGTATGTCAAGATTAGGAGCAGGCGTTTGGGCGTAAGTATTTTACGATTGCTTTGGGGCGTCCCTCCTCTCCCCATTTCACCCCCCCCCTCTCCCCATCCCCGCTTCTCCCCTTGGCATTTTCTGGGCGGCAGGGTTTGAGACTTGCCAGATGCTCCTCGCGGCCGCCGGGTGGGTTGGTGGGAATCGGTCTGGGTGTCTGAAGGAAAAGAAAATCAAACCAACGTCTGCTTTAGTGTTCTAGTTATTTACTTATCCCTTGCGGAGAGTTGAGTTTTTCCAGATCCTTGCGTTACGTACCCGAAAGAATTTCAAGGCACATTTCTACATAGCGGTTCAGCGAATGGAAAATAAGAGATCTGCGCTGGCATTAAATGGGTATTTTCAGGGTTTTCAACTGTGCTGGTAGCAAGGACTGAATGTGGCCGAATCCTTCCTCAAAGGGGACTGGGGCGAGTGGTGTCTTGTGGTAATTGGGTTGGAGGCAATGGCTTGATTGGAAATTGATTTAGAAACCGGGAATCGACAGATTCAGGCAGTCTGTGTCTCCTAACTTTTCACCTCTTTCCTGAAGAGGAGCCTCCGTTAGTGGCACCTTGGAGACATGCAGCTTAATCCCAGGTAACTTCACGCAGAAGTGAGACTTGGGGTGGGTTGATGTACAAGGGTGCAGTATTGGTTAGGGCAAAAGAGCAAGCAAACTTCAGGACAGCTGTGCGATTGGCATTTGCAATGGGGTTTGGTTTAAAGTCTTGTGGCACCTTGGAGATGCGCAGCTTGCTTAATCCTAGGTAACTTCACTCAGAAGTGAGACCTGTGGTGGGTTGATGACTGGAACGGTGCAATATTGGCTTTTTATACAAAGAAGTAGACAATACTTTAAGAAAAATGTGGGTAGAATTGCCGTCAAGGCAACAGGCGTCATTTAGAATCAACACGCATAAGCTTGTGCTGGCACAACTGTTTGAGATAAGAAACCAGTAATTACACACACACACACAGACACACACACACACACACACACAAACACAAACACAAACACCCACACATGATTACCCAGAAGTAAATCTTCATGGCTTCAGTAGGTCGATTGC